TCAGTATCGATAGCATTGTCGATTCTGTCTTTCGATCAAATTCCCTTATCAATTCCAGAGTAGTTCAACAGGTGGCAAAAAACTAATTGCAGTGTGCCAAACTTCCAGTTGGTTCTGCAAGTCTAGGATTGGCTTACATGGGTACCAGAGACACACACTCCATCATGCAGATGCTAACCCATCATTTGCAAGACTGACAGATGCCAGTGATGTACCTTTAAAGGTAAAACATTCTCAAAGTTTAAGATATTAAAAAATAAATATAGGAAATTTCAAAACGGGTGTGATTACATTAATGTATGAAGAATTCATCTCCCATGAGACATTTCTTATAGTTGCACAACTCTTCTTCTAATGACGTTCTTGCTGTTTAACTGGAGTTTTCTCATTATCGGCACCTGCTGTGTAGGAATAGAATCGCAATAGTGTCTGAGGTAGCAAAATCTCTGCAAGTTATTATAATAATAACAACAATAAAGTTGTTTTATTTCGCATTGAATCCTTCGACTCCCTCTGATATTGAATCACATTGTAATTGGGTTAGTTTACTATTAAAAGCAGTCCCTGAGTGTCAACACATTGGACTGACAGATTCCTATTGCTAGTATTGTTAAACACTTTCTATAACCACGTAGGGATGATTTATTACCAAACTTGGTGTGTTTCATGATGCATTGTTCTTTCATCTGTCTAATTGCACTGCTATAAAAGGTTCATTTTCTCCCTGCATGTCTCCTCTTGCTCCCACTGATGCATTGAACATGTATATGATTCGTGATGATGTCTTGCTGTTGCAGAGGTGCTGATTTGCACACCATTGTTCCCTTTTAAGTTGGTGCAAATGTTAGAGTCCACAGAGATGCACATTCCAGCTGCCTGATCAGGGAAAAGTATAGTTTCTGAAACACAATAGATGATTTGTCATTGTATGGACGTAGATCTCCATCGTTTGTAAGGCAAAGCGAAAGTTGCATTAGTTCCAAGTTGTGCTGTAGCAAACTTCAGGATCCATAGCAGCAGTGACTGATGGGAAATGGAGAGATGTCAGAGGATTGCAGGGATAACGAGGGAGAAGCAAAAAAAAAAAAAAAAAAAACTCCTGCTCTCTTTTCCTCTCTCGTCTCCCCCCCATGACTCATCATTCACCAGTGACACATTAGACCCGCTGGGCGACGGGGCCTCACTCTCCCCTTCTTGCACATCGAGGAATGATGTATTTTTTTCTGTCCTGTCACAGTGCCAGTAGAAGAGAAAATCACAGGTTTTCAGGGCTAAAACGAGGATCAGGTGTTAAAGCTTTTGACAGATTTAACATATTGGATGAGCATCTTTGCCAGATGTGTCACGATCCGATCACGATCCGATCACGATCCGATCAAGATCTTAGATTATCTTTCTGTGTCGTCTGGAAAATGATCTGTTTTCAGCGTGTGAATAGTGTCAGAGCACCGTCACATTTTTTTCCATTTTGACCTTAATTGCATCCTTTATTTTTTCTCCCTTTTCATTCATGCAACTTTAAGGGGGTGGAAATAGTAATGTCACACTTAGAAGGCTCTTATTGGCCTAATGGTGTACAAGCGCAGCAGCTTCTAAGTGCCTTCTATACAAGCTTCAAGAATACACACCGACGAGCACGATTATGTCCACTTGTGTGCCTTCACGTAAACAAACATGCAGTTTATAAACTGAACAGTCTTGTGCACGTCCGTTAGGAAGAGATAAACGCTAATGATGGGTCCCAGCGCAGATCAAAGCAGGAAATCGATTCTCTGTATGAGCAGGAAGCAATGTGTTTCTGCCCACTTCGCATTAAAAATTCTGCTGACTTTAAAGTTCCAATGGCGGCGTAATAAACAGCAATGCAGTCCGGATAAAATAATATCAGGGTGCAGCCTGCCAGCGAGGCGTCTGTGATTCACAGGGCTTTGGGAGTGTTGCACGAGGACAAGGTGAGCTGCTTTCTCACTCAACACCTACCACTCAGTGCTCTACCCACTGCAGTCTATGTTGGGGTACCCTCTAAAATCATGGAAGTTAAAAATGCTTAGTTTCTTTTTAAATGATGCTTTTTCCTCTGATGTGCTCCTCTGACATATGTGACTCCAGCTTTTACACACATGCACTTGTTAAGGAAGCCAAAGAAAGCTGCTCTCCACGGGGCTGCTGATGTAAGCTTGTTGCTGATTCTCTGTACAGCAGAGAACAGCTCACCACGACAACTGTTGCTCGGAGACCGTCTGTCAGTCTCCACAGTCACCAGCTACTGTCGCCAAGGTGACAGATGGACCTGCCCGTTTGAGGCCGTAACTCTAAGATCTGCTGCTGTGCACGTGCATGCAAACACACACACACACACACACACACACACACACACACACACACACACACACACACACACACACACACACACACACACACAATCTTGATAATGTCTTCCATTTAGTGGCTGCTGAGCTGCCAGGTTGATGAAACCGTTTGTTTCACAAGATTAGCAGCTTGTTTATATTTTTTGGCATGATACATGTAATTAGCATAATGAATTTGTATTTTTTGCTTTTGGCGCAGGTTTTATTAGTGACTTTGCTATGAGTAGTACACTGATGCAATGAGCCAGATCTGTCTTTGAGGGCCAATGCCGATTTTTGATTCTTGTAGTTTGATTACCTGTAAAAGCCTGAACATGGAAGATTTATTTTTTGGGTGGAGTATAGTGGACTCAGTAAAATGTTTAAACTTCATCGTTGCTCGATGGTGCTGGGATTTTTTAGTTTTAGGTTTGCTAATTACCAGTTGAGCTGATCATATTGGCCAAAACCAAACACTGTCTAGTAATTTATAGGATGTTCTTCATCCACCCTTACCTCTCACAATATTATATAATTCATTATTTTGTTTTTTTATTAAAACAACAATTGAATCATCATTAGTCGGAAAGACATGGTACTTAAGGAAGTTTAGCTTTTGACTGACGGTAAATCTTCACTGCTATGGAGACTGATTAGGAGGCCCCTCGGCGCTCCTGCTCTTGTTTTTAACCTAAAGGATTAAAACAGAGTGCCCTCGCCAACTGGTTGGCTGGTTTTCCCACAGGTCCAGAACCGCTCTTCCCTTCCTGTTGTGTGTAATTGGGTTTGGAGGTTGGTCCAAACACCTACTATACCTTTGATCTGAGAGCATCAAACGCATTGTGCCGCTTCACCTTCAGACACACACAACAAACACCCAACTACTTCTGCCTACCAATGTAATGTTGCACCGTTAAACATTTGCTGTTTGAGATTTATGCATCTAGTTGAAAAAAGTGAGCTAAAGAAAGCTTCTGTGACCGGTTTCACAGATTTTTGAATGAATCTTTTATTCAGTCTGTTTAGTGTCCTGCCTGGTCGTGTCCATTGTCTGTATCAGTATGTGTGAATGCAAAGCTGCAAAAAAACAAAAAAGCATCTGGACTGTTTTCTTCTTATTTATGGTGTTGCTGATGCTCTCAAATGAATTATTCCTGTCTAAGTGGAAACCATGTGGAAAAGGAATTGGAGGAACAGCTGGATGACAAAGGAGAGACACAAACTTGTGGGTGAGAGTTAAGGCAGACGACAGAATGTGTGCAGATATCTTGTAGAGTCCACTTCCATCACAGTGATGGCCCACTTTCCTGGAAGTAGTGGCTCAGTCCCTGTTGTGTTACGGACATCTGCTGTTTGTTAGAGGTGTCCCCGTACTGCACTGAATGGAGCAAATGCAAACAAAAAGTACAGCTCTAGTGAGTTCCCTTTGTCTTCTGGATTCTCTCCTCGCCTTCTCATTTCCATAACTTCCTGCAGTCAAGGTTTTCATGCCGCGTGGAGGTAGAGAGGGATCGGGGGAGATGGGTCACGTGCTTGTGGAACAGTTTTACCCATATGGATCGAGGATTACGTTTTAGTAATCTGTCAATCTTATTTTCTGTCTGTGGTAATAACATTTTTGCAATGACTTATTTTTTTGTCTTCCTGCTCACTTGCGCAGAAACGCTTCTGTCATAGCTCAAGCACACTTTGATTTGAGTCGGGACTGCTGCATGAAACCATCTGATGCCTGTGTGAGTGTGAGTGTGAGTGTGTGTGTGTGTGTGTGCGTGTGCGAGGCTGAATGAATGTTTACCAGCATGTGGGAAGGGAGGGAGATCGAGTGTAGAGAGGAAGAGGGAGGGAGAGAGAGAGGCTGATGATGCTGAGGGAGGAAACGGGAGCGAGGACAGTGAGCAGCGAGGTGAGAGAGAGGGAGAAACGGGTGGGAAAAAAGGAAAAGGCAGCAGGAAAGGGAGAGACCTGGAGGACGCGCCAACTGCCTATAGATGCTGGAGCCTTCGACAGCGGAGCGCAGCGCTCAGCGGACTCAGGAAGATGGTCTCAGTAAGAGGGGAACTGACGGTTGCCTATAATTTAATGTTCAGTATCTTGGACTCCTTCTCCATGGGTAATGCCTACGGCCGGGAACTTCAGAACAAAGCTCGCTCTCTTTTCCTCCCATTAAACTCTTTTTGTTCTCTATCTTTAATTGCTGTCCATCTCTTTCTCGTTCCCTCTCTCTTGCTGCCTCTCTCAGCTCACACTTTCTTTCCCCGAACACACACTCACGCCGATGGGTAGCCGAGGTCTAGCGAGCACCGGGTAAGCCCTTGGGGCTGGCCTTACTGTTTCGCTGCACCAGTCAAGCCGAATTCTGGCCGTGGCGGTGATGCAGATAGATCGCGCTGCCTGCCCCCCTCCTTCTCCTCCCCTTTCTCCTCCTTTCTGAAACACCACACGCAGATGGGCGAGCAAAGGGAACCAGGCAGGGATAGAGAGGAGCGAAGAGGGTTTGAGTGGTGAAGGAGCACTGTTTGGGGAGTCTGCTTTAGGAATGTTGATCCCACACCTCAAATTGTTTGCAGTCTCCTTTTATCTGAACATGGACTACAAACTCCACTGGTAACCTTCTCCCTTTTGTCTTTTTCTCCTCTCTGTCTGGCTTCACAGGAGTGGCACCTGCAAAGAAGAGCCCCAAACTGGTAAGCTGCTATTTTCCTGTAATTGCACCCCCTCTCATCCATCTTCTGCTCTTCCGTCTTGCTTTTCCATCCATTTGAAGGAGTAATGTGCTCACTTTCTCTGCCTCTCCTCCTTGGTCCCAGCCTCCCACCCCTACCCTGTGTGGTGTAACTTGTGGTGATGTTGTTGGCTTGTTTGTAGACATGGGGTGCTGTGCTGAGCGGGGGTGGATCCCTGTAGCTTTACACGAGCCCCCTCCCTCCGCCCCCTCTTTCTGGCGGGGGATGGGACGCGGGGCTTTGAAGCGCCGCGTGAGTTGGGTTGCTAACATGCTGATGATCGCATCACGCTGGGTGCTAAGTTTGTGGTGTGCGAGCTGAATGTATGATCAGAGCAGAGAAAGACGGCAGCCTGGTTCTGCAGCGAATTGCGCTGTCTCCTCCGTCTCTCACTGAATGTATGTTTGTTGTATTTTGTTTTGCAGGATGATTTTGAACTGGCTCCTCCATACAGAGATTACACTAGGATGGTATGTGATGTTGTTTGAAAGAGACGAAAGTTTCTTGAGGGACTGAGGTGTTGTGACTCTGGTGCTGGGTGGTGGTGGTCTTTTAGAGGAAGGCGTGCATGATTAATATGTTGTCTTTTATGTTCTTGAGGTGTACTGTCTTAGACGTTTTCAAATATGACAAAACATATTATAATCACAATAATTTTGGTCAGTATTGAAATCCTGATGAGTCACTGGGTTGGGTATCTCTACCCAGAAGTCAGGCACCTATTTACACGAGTGATTAAAACTAGAAGGCATAAATCACAAAACCAAAATTTTATATCATTTGAGATGTACAAAATATATCAAATTAACTGAAACAATAAAATTAAACTGATGCTAGCACCTTGTGACATGCGACCAAACCAGTGCGCATGTTGGTGTTGTAATGGGGACCAGTTAGGACCATTTAGCCTGGCAAGCCATCCTTTTTAAGTGAATATATAGTCTGGCCACAATCCATTAATGATTCTCAGTCGTGCAGCGGGATCTATGGTTGTCTTTCAAATTGTCACCACATGCTATTGGATAACAAACGTGACATACTGACCGCTACAGATGTCAGTCAACGAGGCAGTCGGCCATGCTCCGTCAAAGTAGATACAAATACATCATTTTTCCAAGTACCTCTATCTGCTCTATACTCAAAGAATAGCCCAAATCATAGTAGTTCAAAGCTGAAGCCATATTCGTTTCCAACAAGCAGTCGCCGACTTGTCAACTTTAGTTTTCAGTAACATCCTGCCTACTCTACAGAACCATGGCCATCTTGGTTTGCAGTAACATCCCATTCCTACCTGGCTGATGGAGAGCTGCGATTGGCCCACCAAAAAATCTATGATTGGACCGCTATGGATGTCAGTCAACGAGGCAGTCCGCCATTACATTGTGGAAGAACTACATAAAACACAAAGTAAATCATAAAACAATACATTGTTTTTTAATGCACACAGAGCAAACCTAGACTGAAATGCAAAGCTAAATTATTTTGCTTTGGCAAATGACGATCTAAATTCTAGGTTAAGGATCGTTGGCACCGATGACATAAACAGGGAGCCATATAGAGGGAGGGGCCAAGGAATCATGTTGCCTCAATGGCCTCATGAGGAATAACAATGGCCTCGCCAGCGATTCTTATTGCTCCATCAGCAGCTTTGTTTCAGACCACGCCTCCTACTCCCAACTCGAGTTTCAGAACTGAAGACATTTCTTAGCTGAGAGGTGAAATGTCTTCAAGGAAAACGAGAAGTCCAGTTGTTGAATATAATTGACATTAACATGGAGAAACAGAGCTGCTATAAAAGCAGAGAAGAGCTGTTTAGGATGCCTGAAGGTTCAAATGGGGAGAAAATTTTTTAAAATGGGGTGTTAAAATATTGCTGGATGTCTCACCATAGTGTGGTTTGGAGTCATAATTGAAAGTAGTGGGGACATATATTTTTGTGTGTATTAAATCGTATACAGCTGGTGTGTTTTGCCTTCAATCTGCCCTTTTCTTCCAGTTTGAGTTTAACCTTCAAAAGGGGAAATAATGCATGTCACTCAGAAGGAAAGGAAACATGAAGAGAGCACTTAGAAGGCAGAATGTGTCAGAATAACATCAACGTTAATATTTTTTGTTGATTACATAGTTGATGTCATTAATCAGAGCCTGAATCAAAGTCTGAAAACTAATTTGATTAATTGCACGGCTCTAATGCGACATCAAACCAGCTAAAGAAAGACTACTAATGCATCAAGGAAGTTAACTTGATTCTCTCCTAAGTTTGTTTTCATTGCTCCAGCTCCTCATGTCCTCTTTCACCATCTTTATGCCTCCTTAATAAGTTATTAGATCAGGAAGAAAAAACAATGTTTTAGACCGGTCTCAGAACATTATGGCACAGCAGTGACTACAGAAGGTCACATCTAATGGATCCATCAGAACGAGATTTGTTTTCATTTGAGCAGAGTGCAGGATTCAGACATTATGTCCATACAGAGAGAGCAAAGCAGAGGAGGTGCTGTTTTATTTGATGATACCAAAGTAAACTAAAATTAAATGATATTGCTGTCTTGAAGTCTGAATGCAGCACCAAAAAAGAGCTGCATCGCTCACTGCTGATCCCACTGAGGTTACGCTCGACGCCAAGTGCAAATCACACTCAGTATTTCCAACAGCATCAAGCTTCTTTTATGTCCAACAAGCATAATGAATATAAACATGAATTGCTGAGGTGTAGGAGTCCGATTCGTAAAGAGCCTGGATTCATCGAAGACACGGATGCACTTTGAAGGCCAAACTATTTGATACCCGAGAGCAGACGAGCCGCTCGCCTCCACCACTTTTTCCTGGTATATTTTTGTCCACTAAAGCCAAAGTAATGTGTGGTCACATGATACGAAGAGTCTTTGCTGCTGTCATTTTCTCTTGCTGTCTTAAAATATCTCAGTCTCTGCCTGTAACTCTCTCTCTCTTTGTTGCTCTCTTTGTTGAATTCCTCGCAGCAGTGCAAATCTGGGGACTTACAATGAAGATGTAACCGTAAAAAATATAGATTTTTACAGTACGTCGACAAAGATGATGAACGGAATTTGAAGTTTGAGTGCCATTGAGCTCCGAGCTGAATGTTCCCCTCAGATCACCTCAAATCCTCAAGCACGTGTTTAAGTGTCCGTGTAATTGAGGGTCTGGGTGCGATTTATGAGGACCCTAACACTTGTGTCTGCACCAGTAAAATCCCCCCTTTGTTTCAAAGTCTCGCCAGAGCTTTATTCACTGTGAATTTGTTTCCATATGCAGCGGGGAAAGCAGTTTTTTCCTTGTTGAAACGCTCCCCTCCGCTAAACAAAAGGAATGGGCAATGCACCCTTTGTAAATTGAACTGCCGTGTTTTTATTCCATAGCAGAACGACTTAATCATGAGAAACCATTCAGCGTTTTTCTTTTCTTATCGTTCGTTGTGAGCTAAAAGAATTTCTATGAATAAAACAGCTTGATTATTCTTTGCATTGATTAAAGGTAGCAACAAGCTGTGGAATCTGCTTTCTTTCACCCCCAAGGAGAAGCAATTGTTACTCTTTTTTTCTGAACTCTAATGGAAAACTCTTTTGTATTCATATCTTCATCCTCCTGGTTTCTCCTCTCACAGCCACATCTCTGATCCTCCTCTCAGATCTGCTGCTGAGGATGCAATAACCTTTAAATGTTTTTTATCTACCTGGCTGTCCGCTCCGAGTTAATCTGCCTCGTTCCCTCAAAGTTCGTTTTTAAAGAGTCAAATGATATTGATCTGCTTCTCCCAACAGCAATTGTCAAGAAAGGACAGTCAGAACAGTTCCCAGCATAGCGTTTCCAGCCATCGGAGCGCCCACACAGACTCGCCCGTGCATTCGTCCCTGGGACCCCCTCTCAGCGAGACCAGTGCTCCCCCGGCCCCCTCGCAGCCTCTGCCTGGCCTCCCATCCCAGGACTCCCAAGGAGACGGGACCATCCAGAGGAAACCGGACCCCTTTAAAATCTGGGCCCAGTCCAGGAGCATGTATGAAAGTAGGCGTAAGTATATGGATTTTTGGTGGCGGTTGGATGGGGGATGCATGGGTGAAGACGGGTATTTTCTTTTGGCTGGGATTTTTGGTAAGCTAAGCCTGCATGTGTGTAACTGGTTTATGTCTCAAAAAAAGTGTGCTAACGGCATAAATAAGCATATTTTCTTGTGTTTGGAGGTGAAAACCAGTGACTATATCCAAATATGGTGCCACACAATTAGCTTAGCTTAGCCAACAAAGAATGGGGGGAATTATTCTCTTTACGGTTTTCCAAAAACTACCAATTATTTATGTTTAACACTGAAAAGCAGATTTAGTTCATTTTAGCATGGACAAAACAGCCATCTCCCCATGCTATCACTCTTTGTGCTAAGCTAACCTAAGATAGCTTTAGCTTTGGATTAAGATTTCTTCTCAACCAACTTTAAACATAGCTCCTGTAAATGTTTTATACTGTTTGATAGATGTTATATTTAAAAACAGTTCATCTTCCATTTGTTTTGGAGACATAGTATGATGACACTTTCTTCATTGGATAAACGCTATTTTCAAAATCGATCAAATTGTTAATTTTCTGCTTCAGACCTGCTTAATTTTGATTAAATTCAAGTTATTAGAACATTTCTGATTAACATTGTGACAAACCACCGTTGTTCCATTAGAGATAAACTAGTTCTGTGTTGAAGATGAAGTTTCCCTCCATGTTTTGGGGGGCCTGCTCTTTAAAGGCTAATGATGCCACTTTTGTCCAACTCGACGCTAATGCCATGCACTGACATGCTTTTAGACTTCCCTTAAGAGGCATGTAGTGCATAATTAGCAGCGATTGTGAAGTGGATGTCAGTGGATTGCACACCCCCTTCTTTTTCCTCCCTGCGAGTGGATAGCTCCAATTAAGGAGAATAAGCCTCAGATCTTCTGTCAAGTTTAGAAATAAAAGGGAGAAGGTTTGGTGGGAAGAAAAAAAAAAGCAGGAGTCTGAGTGTTGAAATATGAACATTGAATCAGTTGCCCAAGCACCTTTTGTTGTGACTTTAAAAAATTTAGAGGGCTATGAAAAAATCATTTGTCTTAAAAAGTAAAGTTAAAAAAGAGTGGTAGAGGTGAAAACATGTTTTAAATCGCCCATACCAAAGGTAATTCCGCACTTTAATTGAAAAACAATATAAACATGTTTATTTATGAAAGAGAAAAGTTGGGATATGATAGAGAAGGAATATTTTGAAAGGGAAGAACCCCTGGAGCTAGAAGGGTCAGCTGACCTGTGCCCACATGTGTAAATCATCCCTCTTCCTCACACTCTTTTGAGTCCATCGAATCCTTCAGTACCCAGTTATTATGGCTCTGGGTTTGATAAAAAGTTCTCCACATTTAAGTTGTCATGTTCTTCAAATACCATCTATTGACACGATTAACCCTAACCCTCACCCAAATCGTACGCATTTAAGTTACAATGTCAAATCTGCAAAACATGTTTTCATGCCTCTTAACGACAGTATAACTACATATTTTGTGAAAATGAAAAGTAATAATAAAAAAACAATGAAAGTCTCACATTTATCTAAAAAAACCTCCGCCAATAACACGGCTCAGCCCGAAACCATTGTTTGGACCATCCAGTTGTCTTTCTCACTGCACTTCTGCACATCCCTGGATCCTCCACTCTTTACGCACTCACACATTTTGCAACAGAACACCACTGGTGTGAGAGGTTTGTGGCTCAATAAAATCAGAGAAGGAGAAACAGCCGGCTGCTACCACTTCAACTTTAGGACAAACTACCTGAGTCCCAAAAAGAAAAACACCATTTGAAGTCACGGACAGCAAAAGGCTGGTGTTTAGCGTTCTCTTGTTTACTGTGGCAATGGGGGTTCTGGTATCAGCCGGATGTGGCCCGTGGATGATTGATGACGCGAGTGGTCAGAAGTCCATGTAGTCTGTTTTGGAGATTTGCCATTGCTGCTTTAAGCTGTGGTGAAAAATAAAAGTTTAACCCCAACAATAATCTTGCATATTAACCATCACAGGGTGTTTAACGTGCTCCCGGTTTAAATTACTCAGTACTTCAACCATCCAGACTAATTTAGCTCTTCATGTCGCTTTGCCTCACTACGGGGACCACTTACTGGTCTATTAATCAGCAGTGGATGTTCAGCTGACTCTCCGGAGCACTGGGACAGATTGCAACAGTTAGCCTTTGACTCATATTCTCCCAGTTCCTACCACAGAATCATTGTGATAGGTTGTAAGAAGTGGCCACACTGCGTGGATTTTAACTGTTGACTGAAAGAGCAGGTTGGGAAGAGACATCTGAGGCTGTCTGCCATGCTGCCTCTTCGTGGCTTTAGCAGCATTGGCATGGCTGCCAGAAGCAAACAAAAAGAAAACTGCGGGAGTTTGTTCAAAGATGCAAGTTCAGCAGCACATAATCTACAAAGCAGCTGCAACCTTATGAATGCATTCATGCGTTGACTCCTAGATTAAGTATCATATCCGTTCAAAGCAAACAATCCAGATTTATTCTATCTAAATGGTGTCCAATCCCCTTGAAGGTCTCTCTTTTTTGCGAGATTAACATGCTTCTGCACATCTTGATGACTCCTAACAGGCCATTCAACCATTCAATCAAGTGTGTTTCAGCTGGAAAACAACCAAAACACACACGATTGGGCACCACTAGACTTTAGTGATGATTTATTCATCCACAAGTTGATACAAAGCTATTTGGGGTTCTTGGATTTGTTAATGTCTAGCTCAAATTTGCCCCCAAAAATTCATAGTTGGGAGTAGAGGTGGGCAATTTATTAAAAATGTACCAATACCGTAGTTTGTCTACTGCGGACGCCCTTTTGCCCATGCCAACATATTGCATGTTTGGAAAAAAAAAAAAAAGATGTGTGTAAGTTGCCAATGTTTATGTTCCTTTACGATGCTGTGCTACGAACTGGATGGGGTGGAGTCACAAGACCTGTAGTCACGTGACTCCACCCCATCTGGTCTGTAACAAGAAGGGAAAGATGATGAGGTAATGGCAGATGTTTCAGACATTGAAACAGTGAGTGGTCGAATAATCCAAAATGATCCCTAGTGGGTGTTGAAGGGTTTTTGTGGGAATCTACCAATGCTACCGCTCCTTCTAACTGCTGCTGTATAGGTAGTTATTGTCCATTTATTTATATCGAGGTAAACTGGTCATTATATCCTGATATTGATTTTATATTGCCCAACCCTAGTTGGGAGATTACTCTAATCTCCCAGCGATTACAGCTAGGAACCGTGTCTTGATAGTTACCTGGTTTTGCTTTCATTTACTTGACACTATGGGTGTCCTTAGCAAGAATCCGGCAGTGCCACATAATACAAGGGAGACGATACAATATTTTACGATGAAAACCAGACGATATTTGCAATATTTAAGACTTAATCGGAAACCTCAGGCCAAATGCTTCCAAGACGCATCCAGTGTAATCACAAGATGTCATTCAATCAGAACGATGGCGGTAAAAACTGCTGCCACCTAGCAGTTGGAGTGTGAATTGCACCACACACAAAAATAAATGTTTGCATGTAAATGATCTTTTATTCTTTAAAATATTGTTAATATTATGATTATTCATTGTATTTATGTTTTCCTGCATCCCTACTTGACACAATAACGGCAAAAATCTGGAGAAAAACAATAGCCTTTAGGTTTTGTGCAAAAAGATAGAAGCACACGCACACACACATTTAGCCTCATTTTTTTCATCCTGAGCATCCAGTAACCTCCTGAGCTCTTCTCTCACACTACATAAACCATGAGCTGTCAGCCACTGCAGTGAAATGCCTCTTTTATATAACAGCACCTTCCTGTTTACTGCCAGACATAGAAGCTCGATTCTGTCGTTTCTGGCCACCGGTGAACTCTGAACTTTCCACATTATGCTCAAGAATAGATGGCTTATCTATTCCCGGCTGTCGAGTGGAAAGTGCACCCTGATGTAGATGTAATATTTACTGTGCGATGTTGCATATTGCTTCATAAAATAAGAAATAGTGTTGCCCCTTTAAACTTCACCAACTGAGAATGCCACTTTAAAGGTTTTAAAAGGTTTAAAGAGAATATTTACTATTCCAGGCATCAAAGGAGCTCAGAAGTCAGATTTTTTTTTTCTAATTATGCCACAGATGAAGAGCTCAGCCCTTATTTGAAGCCACGTGCGACTTTTCTTAAGATTTTTATTTGGCTTTGTGTTTTTAGATCCTTACCAAAAATAGATCGACTTGACAGAACAGTCTGTTCTTTATTTGTTTGTATCGTTTGACGGCTTCAGACATGAGAACTCAGAAAATAATGCCATACTAAAGAAAACTTAGTATAGTTAAAAAAATGTTCACTAACATACTAATGCTTGAGTTGTTCTGGTGCTGGCATGAAGAATCCCCTTATGGTAAATGATGTTATGATGAAATGTTGATGGTTGTTTGATTTTATTTTATGTTTTACAGTTCCAGACTTCCAGGAGCAGGACATATTTCTGTGGAGGAAGGACACAGGGTTCGGCTTTAGGATCCTCGGAGGCAACGAGCCGGGAGAACCCGTAAGTTTTTCCATCGCATGCAGATTTTTTCTTTTGTGGACTTTCTTTTGGACATATTTACATCAGCACTTTTTAAAGTAACAGCCTCTCTTTGATCTGACCAACAACATTCCCTACAAACACTCCTCTTTTCATCTCGCTCTTCTTTTAATGTCAGACCAACCGTTTGTTCTGGTTCACTGGACCACACGAGTTTTATCCTTCAATCGTTGAAGAAATCCAGCGTTTAAAAGCAGAATGTTGCTTTGAATCTAGTAAAACCATTACATGCTAAAAAGAACTCTTAAAGGGATACTTAGCAACTTTTTCCTATTTTTAAATAATTTTCCTGAGCCAATTTCAATTCAATTCACTTTATTTATCCATTAGGAACTTCATTTGCTGTCAAAGCGTCAGCACAACACATAAAAACACTCATACACATACACTCAATTTAAAAGACTACTCACATCTACATACACTTAAAGGAATTTAAAAAGGAATATGATAATAAAACATTACTAGTTCAATCTAGATTTACCGTAGTTTGTGCTAAAATGACCCTTTACAGGGTTAATGAAAGGCCACCCAGCCCCTGTGGCCAGAATATTCCACATGCAACTTCTGTTGACCGCTCTGTTGGGATTTGAGCTGACATACCTGGCGCTGGAGTCTGGTTCTAGCACGTTTCCTGCATGTTTTAGATCTTGAAAACAGCCTATTTGTTTAATTTAGTGATGAATCACGCCTGTAGGCGCTAATGAAGGCTGAGGAGACATTTCAGCTGTCAGATTAAGGTGTTAAAAAGATGAACGTGCAGCGAGGAGAAAGGTTTTGCTTTTGGTTCTGCAGACAAACACTAAGGGGTGCTAAAAGCAAGCCAAAACTGCCTAGTTCCCTTTAAAATGGTACGGTGGTTTCTGCATCATTGATAATTAAACCTTTTAAACTCTACATCCAGAATCTCCCAACGACAGTTTCCAAAACGTCTTAAAACCTTTCTCCGTGTTCTGGCATAAATCAGTCTAGAACCATCTTGAATACCTTGTCAATACAACATCAGAGTCAGAAATTACAAGAGAGCTTTGAAAACCAAATGAGAGTCAATTGCAAACATATTGAGATGAAGAACAGACATTTTCTGACTCATTTGCAACAACAAGTTAGCCTGACAGCCACAATTTGTTTGCAACTACATCACACGCCCAACTCGACTCATCCATATATTAAAGTTGTTGCAGAATAGTTGCATGCACCTAATCTGACTGCCTCCTACTGAAAGTAGCAAATATTTCTTCATCTCTGCAGTAAGGTTTGGGCTGTTATAGAGACTTCTTTGGTAACCTTCTGTGATCTGATTATTTGCCCTGCGCGCCTTTCAGATCTACATCGGCCACATAGTGAAGTACGGCGCTGCAGACGAAGGTGGGCGCCTTCGATCCGGAGATGAACTGATATGTGTGGATGGCACAGAGGTGGTGGGCAAGTCACACCAGCTGGTGGTGCAGCTGATGCAGCAGGCTGCCAAGCAAGGACACGTTAATCTCACTGTGAGACGCAAAACCAGCTACGCAGGTAAAGAGGCACCCAGCCAGAATGCAAGACTACTCTTTTACCTCAACTTTTCAACTTTTTCACCCAAGCTAGCCCAACTTTTGATGGCCCAGTGAAACCTTTTTATTTTAATCACAGTCCTGTCTGGAGGCTGGGGCTCTGAAAGCGTCCCCCTCCTCTCCTTCCTCTGTTTTGGTCTGGATATAGAAGCGGTCAGCTGCTCCCACCAGCAAAACGCCCGCATCCCATCGCTGCTGTCACACCACTCATCTGAGCTCCTCTCCACTCTGCTCCTCAGCAGGCGATAAAGAAAGGCCCATAAACATGATGGAGAGGGTGGTCAACCTTTGGCCTGCTGACGGCAGCCAGACATTAGTGCATGGCTGCTCCCTGTCTGCCTCACAGCGTAGAAAGTATGAGGTGCCTTCGTTGAGCAGCTGTACAGGAAATGAAATGTGGAATGAAATGTCCAGATTCAGCAGGCAGGCCACGTCTGCAGTTCATCTTTTGTTTGAAACGGATCGCAGGGCAGGCTGGTGAAGAGGCCCGTGGTCCAACGCGCTTTCATGGAGTTGAAATTACTACAAAAAGATAAACTGGCTGTTAAGAATCATATAAATTATTTTACATCGACTGGCGTTTTCTAGTCTATCTCTTAATTCAGTATCGTCTCTGATCTGTGAGGTTTTATCTTTGGTTTCTTTTATGGTTCTCTAATTTGTCCCTCATTCTCTGTCATCTCCAGTTAAAGCAGAAGGAGATGTGCCTCCGTCGCCTGCTTCCTCTCACCACAGCAGCACCCAGGCGCCCAGCCTGACGGAGGACATGGGGAGACGCACCCTGCAGGGCAGCCAGAATTCACTCAACACCGTCAGCTCCGGCAGCGGCTCTACGTCCGGTATCGGCAGCGGAGGAGGAGGAGGAGCCGGGGTGGGGCTGAGCGGGAACTCCGTGGTTGCCGCTACAGCCGCCAACTCCTCCTTCTCCCAGCCTCCCAACACCAACTCCACCGGCGCCTCCTCTGCTTTGCAGCCCTATGACGTGGAGATCCGACGTGGCGAGAACGAGGGATTTGGTTTCGTCATCGTCTCATCGGTGTCTCGGCCCGAAGCAGGCACCACCTTCGGTAAGCAACAAATCCCTTTGCTGCTTTAAAAAAACATTTATTTAGAGACATATTTTTGTTAATACACACAAACATCACCAGTTCCACTCAGCAGAACCTGAAACACACACTTTTTTCTTACCTTTTGGGCTCTTTTATCTTTTGGTATTCTTTGTGGAATTCCTTTGTGTTGCTTAGAAAAACCACCAAGCGCTTAGTAGCCTGACAGCCATTCTGGCTATTTACAGTCGCACCAGATCAGAGTCAATAACCTTCAAAGAAGTGCATCTTTTTTCCTCGTTTTTGCTTCAGCCTGTCAAACCAAGACACTGAAACCCTTTTCTTTCCCTGCAGCTGCTGCTACACTCTCACAAAGCTTTCATAATTGATCACAAGTGAAGTGGGTCTTACGTAAGCCACTTGTATTATTCAGCTCGATTTAAATGGCTTCTGCTGAGCAGGTCCGCTCCAAGAGCCTCATAATGTCTCGATGAAGACTCGGAAAGAATCAGAAAGATTTGCTTGCTCAAAAAAGTATTTAATGCTTTAATAAATTTCCAAATGTTCTCTTTCAGTCGTAGTCCGTAATCTTTTTGATTTCTGCATATGTAAACATAAGAATTCAATGGAAATTGATGCTTTTTCCAAGCCGGTGGTGTCTTTTTTAGGCATCACCCACCCTTTTGCCTGCATAACTGATCTGACTGTCCTCTGTGCTCCTGCCTCTGCTGGAGAGAATAAACTAAATCCGTCTGATTGCTCAGCTTCACGGGTTGGTTCACAAAGAAGCAGCAAATTTCCTTTTCACAGGTCTCGGTAAATAGCATGAGGCAGCAGATGAGCCGTATTTGTTTTGATTCAGCATGTAAAATTTACATTTCCTTCCCTTTCACCATGCACTTAGTATTTTACAGCCTAAAAGCCGGCAGATTTCAGCTAATCAGGCAGTGGGGTAGAAGGATAAACAAGTGTTTTTATTAATGTAATCAGACGTTAAAGCAGCACAGATGGTTCTGCAAATAATTCTAAAAAAGTGAAAGGAGTAAGGAGAGTTTGATCACACGCATCAGTCTGCAGACGGAGAGGAAGTGATCACCTTGGGGTGGTTGGTGAGATGTCAGCGCTGATGTATGTTTGTTGTCTCTAACATCCTGCAGGTACGACTAACTGGCATGTAGCGATGCGGAATTGTAGCTCATCATAATCCACACGGAGTTTATTAACTAGACGTTTCGGACGTTTTCCTCAAAAGCAGATTAGAGAATCTTTAGGATTTAAATGTAATTTATTTAATTTTTTTGTGAATAATAAAACTAAGTGAGGCGCAGAGACATAAGCAGGAGCTTCAGTGTGGTGCTGGCTCCGATTCCCTTCCAGAACACATTTACATTAGGCCTTCTTTGCTGACGCTTGCATATTATCCTGACATATCTTGATCCGCTTGTCTCGTCTCTTTGGCTTTGCTGGCTGTTGGCTGCTGGTGAATTAACCCTTAAATCTGCTCATCCTCTTTCTTTCTGCTTCTTTTCCATCTTTTTTACTCTCTCTCTCTCTCTCTCTCTCTCTCTCTCTCTCTCTCTCTCTCTCTCTCTCTCTCTCTCTCTCTCGCTCTCTCTCTCTCTCTCACTCACTCTCTCACTCTCTCCACTTCTCCCAATCTCTTCCTTCCCCGCATAATCCTGCGCACCCAAACATACACACTCCACCCCCCTCAACATTGTCAATGGTGACCAAAGCTGGAAATGCATGTGTGGCCATGCCTCACAAAATAGGGCGCATCATTGAGGGGAGCCCAGCGGACCGCTGTGGGAAGCTGAAGGTCGGCGACCGCATCCTGGCTGTTAACGGATGCTCCATCACTAACAAGTCCCACTCTGACATCGTCAATCTGATCAAGGAGGCTGGGAACACTGTCACTCTACGCATCATTCCCGGGGATGGTGAGTAAAGAACGCTGCCTTAACTCATCTTTATGACCAGGATGTTGCCCGGGTAACAAGCTGCAGATAAATGTGACCATTTCTGAGGTCCTAAGGAACCAACACAAGTATATTTTGCTCTCTAGGAAGTTTAGTGTCCTGTATGTGATATTAACCCGCTCACTGTCTTCCTGGGTGACCCTGCCAGCAAAGTTGACCATTGAGCAGGATTGATGGTTTATCCCTTGAGGTCCATGTGGCAGGGGTGAGGTGGTGCTCACTCCTCACCCCTGCCACATGGACCTAAAGGGATAAACCATCAATCCTGCTCAATGGTCAACTTTCCCTGCAGAGTCACCCAGGAAGACAGTGGGATAGAGTCTTTGGAGGTGTGGTTGGTTTTAGTTTAAAAAAATGTTTTGAACTCTTAAATTACTTGTTTTAGATTGCTCTTTGAATAGCCTCGGTTTGGCGAAACAACAATTAGATCCTACTGAGTTTCTGTTTCTGGTGTTTTAAAGAGAATCTAATCTCAAAAGTGTTGTAGCAGTCAATGCAGCTGTGAGAATATCTTTACATCCTCATAAATGTCACATTACAATTTTCTATATGTTTAAGGTGGAACTTACCTGCAACACTAGGTCTTTTAAAATAATCATCAAATGTGAATGTTATGGCAAAGTAAAGATTAATATTGCAGCCTTGGCATTTTAGTGAAATTTGGAAATGTTTTCAGACACTTAACGACTGGTTTACTCTAAACTAGTATCTCACTGAGCCGCAATTGTTGATTATGGCGTTTACTAGAAGTTTCCAGTTTGTGTTCAAATATGTTCAATCTGCTTGGGTGATGAACTGGTACTCGCTGTCTTGATGATGGAATTTGAAAAGTTGGAGTGCAACATTTGAAACGTAACTGGAACTCAGTTTGAGAAATGTGAGACAACTTTAGGATGGGTTAGGTCTAGAGGTAGACCAATATATTCAGCTGATATTTCACTTTTTTATATATCAGCATCAGCCAATATACCTCCTTAGTGAAGCTGATTCAAAGTCAGGCACATACCCAGGCAGCCCGGTACTTTGGGGCAGCAGTAGCTCAAGAGGTTGACCGGGTTGTCCAGTAATTGGAAGGTTGCAGGTCCGATCCTGGCTCTGGACAGAAAATCCTGCTGTTGTGTCCTTGGGCAAGACACATAACCCACTATGTCTGCTGATGGTGGTCAGAGAGACCGGTGGACCCTGTGTACAGCAGCCTTGCCTCTGTCAGTGTGCCCCAGGGTAGCTGTGGCTACACCGTAGCTCATCACCACCATTGTGTGAGTGGATGAATGATACACTGTAGTGTAAAGCGCTTTGGAGTACAAGTTCATTCATCGTTTCTCATGACTGCCACACAATGTAATTGTATTTTTACGTTCCTGAATATCACCTTCTTTAATGAATGCTCTGAAAACCTTTTTCCAACAAAAATTTCTTTTTTTTAAACCAGTTTTTAGTATTTAATACCTGGTCAGTTTACTGATTTGTCTAACTTTAGTTAGATGTCTGATTTTAACAGGTGGTTAAATTCAGTGTTCAAAAACCGATTCGGCTTCTGAAATTGTGTGCATCTACTGATGTTATCTGTGACGTTTGAGCATGAAAACAAGGTAGAAAACATCTATATATTGGTCATGAAAATTGGCCCAGAATATCAGCTGCACAAAACGTCCATCAGCTGGCCATGACCCTTAGATATCGGTATCGGCAATAGAGACATCAGAATCTGTCGACCTCTAGTTAGGACCCAGGTAACAGGTAGGACTCTAGAAGGTGCTGTATGGGCAATATGATTATACATTAGATGGTTAATACACCTTGTTATAACAACTGTGACAATGTGTTTTTTTACATTTAAATGTAAAAAGTTATAAATTCCGTTATCCCATCAGCACATTTTCACGTGTTCTTGCAATTTTGTGTTTCGATCAAGTCACTAGTGACAATGATGCCCAGTGAGTTACTGGTCCTAAAACCACCACAGAATGGAAAATATAATCTGACCCATGGCTGAGCGTGCAGCTGTATAAAATCCACCTGTTAACAAAAATTCATTCTAAAATATAACAAGTCAATATACGTACTTCTAACATTGTCACAGTGTTGCAAGCTCTCACATGCCAAAAACAATGGAGGTAATAAACAAAGTCATAAGGAGCGCAAAGATAAGCTCAAGCTCGCTCCTGCGAGTGGAATCAGGCAGGTAATAAGGAGGAGTGGTCCAACTGAACAGGAAGTAGCACGGGATGCGGGGCAGAAGAAGGCCAACTGAAGAGACATCTCAGAATGTGAAAGTCCTCCGTGGGGGAGTTTGACTTTGGGTGGACCTGAAACCAGCTTACAAATATAACGATCATATGGGTTTGGCTGTCTTGTGTTTGACTGAGATATGTAACTGACAAATAAGCACATTGTTTTGCTGCCTTGTGATAAAAAGATGTATGTAACTGACAAATGATTACATTGTTTAGGCTGTCTCATGACTGGTTGAGATATTGCTTCACTATGGAAAATGTTTGGCTTAGCAGTTATTTAGAATGATATAAAAAGAGCAGTTAGAGACAGACAGAGAAGAGGTAGAGAGTAAGAGAGTAGAGGTGGGATAGAAGAGGTCGTCCTCCATCGGAGGACGACGAGAGAAGTTGAAGAGAGTTAGTGTGTGACAGTTGGTGTTGACACAAGTCGACGAGGTAGCACCAACAGGTACAGGAAGAGAGAGCAGTTATTCTCAGGAAGATTTTTAGAAGCAGCATCCTCCTAAGGTGATTTTTTAATCTCAGATTTACTCTTTTTTTGCATTTTTTTAATCTTGAAATAAACTTTTTGGAAAAAGAATCCTCATTCTCGATTCTTAAAGGTCTCTCTTAGCCTTTGAGTTGGGAGCCTCGACCAGATCTAAAGGAGAGGTAAGCCACCTTGAACTGCTTGTTCCTGTGCTTCAGGACTTGTTTTCAGGTTGTGACAGATTAAGAAAAGATACCTTAGGTAATGGGAGATAGTCTCCCTTCCTCCTTGGTAGCGGGACGCCCTAAGGATTATAGATCATAATGGTTCGATGGTTCAAACAGGCTCTGTTTTGCACTGAAAAAGTCTGTTTAGCGTGGGAAGGAACCATTTCAAAGGGTGGATTAATTAGATTAATTGATAAATCCATGTTAGCCTGATCAACTAACAGGAATCGTTTTCTAGCTACCACCGCCCACATTGCTGACAGAGGCGCAAATCAATCCTGATAGGACCCAAATAATAGTCTCCTAGATGGCCTCTAGTGAACTTCCGCCCTAGTATTTAAAACCATTAAATAACGGGAGAGTTAAAAGGGAAGTGTGTTATCACAGAAGAACAAGTCCGACAATCTTCATTCCACCTTAAAATAGAAAACGAGTTCTAATTAGGGAGTCCAAACCAGGGTCAGTACGCTAAAACTCACCTGCGGCCTCAACCTCCCTGAAAACGCAGCATATTCTAAGGTTCTAACGGAACCAGGTTCTAATGGAACCAATAAAAGTACACGCTCGCGACATGGCGCCCAACGTGGGGTACTGAGTGAAGCTATACTAGATACCTGACTCACCGAAATAGGACTGATTTCTAGGCTGATAAAAGCTCGCGTACCATGGACCTGGTAAACTTATAACCTTGGAGTAAGTGAAAAACCGCACCAATCTCTCCAAAAGAAAAGAGATGGGGAGAACGGAGGACTAACTGAAAGAAAAGGTAGAAAGATACTACGGCATTCCGACACGAGAAAAGCCAAGAATAAACTAGGAAAAAATAAACAATAAAACATAAAACATCAGATACAGAACGTAACTGGAAACGTGGTTTTAACTGAATCTGGTATGCACGTTCACCCTCATCAAGTGATAAGATAACTTCATGGATGAAAATACTTAATTAAAGGTCATGGCTGGATTAAATCCTAGTACTGGAATGGATTGTCCGAATCTGTGCAGCACCGGCCTCATTATGTTGTATAAGGGGGGTTCTGTCACAACCTGTAAGGTGGCCATGTTTTCTGATTTCACAACTTCCCCATCTGGGTACTGCTACGCTCAGTGGAGGGGTTGGATTCCAGGAACATGTATTGTGTGTGGAACCCATTGTTCCTTAATTAAGTGGTCGGGGCTCCGGGAAGATAAGCCGTCTCACCTGGAAAGGGAGCGGACTTACACCTGGGAGCAGTGGAACTCTCTGCCCCAATTAAAATTTGTTTTTGCAGGACCTGCTTGAGACAAGAACCCAGCATCTGCTCCTGGCAGGTGTGTGAGTGCACCAATGGAGGCGAAAGCAAAGATGGATGCTGCTTCATAAAACATGGGGTTTTGACTACCTGCTTACCAACATGCCAACCCAGCCTCTTTTATGTGGGAGAGCTACTCAGGGACCCTAGCCAGGTGAAAACAGTTAGGCACTTATGGGTGGAGGCTTACCCATTTGTAATCAAGCACAAGACTAGAGAAAAGGGACTAGAAGAGCTTCAAGGTCGATCCCGCTTCGAGTCTATTAAGAGTTTGATATTAGGACCGCAGTTTGGGACGCTGGCTGATGCATGGGAAGCAGGTACACAAACAGGAATGGTCTTAGCCTGCAGATATGAGAAGAGACAGCTGAACAGAGAAAAAGCACCTAGTCAGCAGAGCAACAAGAGACAAGCAGAAAGGGCAGGAAGTGGTGACATCACCCCTCCCCCAGTAAGTTCTGTTAAAAAGTGGGAGTCCTGAACTAACAGTTCCATATGATTCTGACCCGACTGACAGCTACACTGATAAAGCGCAAGCAGACCTGTCCTCCTCTGTTCAGCAGACCTCAAAAGGAGAGCTGAAATGGAAGATCATGTTTCAAAGGGGATGTTATTATATAAGTCAAAGTAAGCCCTTGGATTGTTATCAGTTCATGAATATGTTGTCTGTAAAGGATGGATGGTTTCACCCTGAGATCAAAGTGTGTTTTGCAACAACAGCAGCACTAAACTTACTAAAACAGATGCAGAAACAGTCCAGATGAAGTTATACATTTTTGGGGTTTATTCGATTAGATGAGAACATTGAGTCTGTTTTCCGAGCAGTTCTAATTTGTGTGTTGTATAACACCTGCAGTTGCTTCACTTGTTTTCAAAGTTAGCGGAACACCCCCGCAGTGCTGATGGAACTGCCTGTTTGGGGGATATTTGGGAATCTTCCCAACAGTTGCAGTTTTGCCTACGGCATGCCCGCACCTTTAGAACTCACAAAACTAATTTAGATGCTTGTGTGAAACGGAGAGAGGCAGAAAGAGTGTTGCAGAACGTCTTGTGTGTGAAGGTGTGCAATCCATCATGGACTGCATGTTGTCTGTTCATACATGCAGCTGTGAGTGCTCCTCCCTATGCTGACAGATCGCCCCAGCCTCCTTCACAAATGCTGATTAATCGAGTTTCGGTTTTTTACGTCTGAAGAAGACTCTGCTCTCTGTCAACCTGCAGCGCTGCTCGAAATTGAAGCTATCTGTCTGCCGATCATTTCTTTCTGGCTCACTTCTTATGGATGAAGACTTCCATGTTTACTGTTCAGTGCCATTGATGAGAACACCGAGCCAAAATTGCCCTGCAAACAAAACACGCAGAGCAAGAGTGAAGGCGTCTGGGAGAAAATAACCAGATATGCTTTATAGGAAAGTTCTTGTTTATGTTTATGAGCACGTGTCAAACACACTGACAGGGAGACAGCGAGCATGTTGGGGAAAAATTGTGGCTTGTCTCTCTTAAGTATGATTCCAAGCGATTGTTTTCTCTGTTTCTGTTTACAAATGGTTGCCTATTTTCTGTGAGGATCCGTCCTGTTTGTGAAGTTTTTGAAGCAAGTACCCCAGCGAGAGATCCTTCAAGGTGAAGTCAGGTTCATCTCACCTTTTCCTCTCTTGTAGGACCATAGATCTGCAGGAACAGGTGCTTTTATACTTTTTGGTGACATGAAAAGCAGGAGCAGCTAATAGTCCAACCTTGGTATATCTGTTGTGTGTGAGAAGCTAGGCAGACATGAAGTGTGTGATTTTTTTAATAGCATTTACTGCATATTAGATGAGGTAAAAAGACTTATCCCTTCCTTTTGGCTTCTTTTCCAATCTGTCATAGCCACTCTTCTATTCGGGAAATTCAGAAACAGCACATTGCTTTAACGGTGTGTGTTTGTAGACAAGAAATGAAAAGAAAAGAGCGATAGACGACTATTGTAGGAGAGCAAGATGAAGCGATAGAGCAGTGTTGGAATCTATTAAGAAGAGTTAAAGTAGCTTATAGGGACAGTTATCTGAAACATTAGTGATACGTGTAAATTCAGTCTGACATGGAAGGTTAGTCCACCCACACTCGGCTTGGTTGGTCCTTTTTTTTACCCACACAAGTTATTGAAGGGTTAAGTCAGAAGGCTTCAAGCAAAGTGAGGGAGGGAAATAAGATGGATAGGTGAAAGGGGAACTGACCATGAGAGAAAATGGCCAGAGGCTGACTTATAGAGTGCCAAGCTGTTTTCAGACTCGGTGTGCACGACGATGGCCAAGAAAGATTAAATTGTTATGGAGGAGAAAGGTTTCTTAATGCAGTGGGAGTGGCGGGATGATGGTCTGTTTGCAACCCGGTGCTTTTCATTAATAACACAAAAATGATTCCATCAAACAAAAGACAAAGTAACCAGGAGCTGTTTTTATATCGGTGGAAGATTACTCCCAGTCCAAAAGGAGATGTCTTTCAGGTGGAAATAAGAAGCGACAAGTGCCCTGACAGAATGATTGATGGCACAGACTGCTGTTTTACGCTGGGCTCCCAGGTCTCAGCTGAGTGTTGCAGGAAGCTGACGGTGGAGCTTTGTTTTGGGTCTCAGTGGATCAAATAAAGTTAGTAAATGATAGCTGAATAGCCACAAGTGTGCAAACCAGGGAAAACTTAATATTCTGTGTTTGATTTCCCAGAATACCAGGGGCTTTTGCTATATATAGCATGCCTTGATTTTCTTTCTAAGGTCCATGAAAAAAAGTTTATTTGTTGCTCACATTTATTTTCCTAACAATAATCATAATGGACGATTTATTTTAGTTTCTAATCCCAGAGAAGACTTGCATTGACTTCCACATGGGAGCTGATTCTGGACTATTAGTCATTCTTATTCTGCCCCTTTCAAAGTAGTTTCAGCCCTACTTGTGTTCCTCAAGGTTGTGTTTGGTCCACACAACTCTGTTTCATGTTAGCCTATTTTCATCTTACCGCGTCTGTAAATTTGTAAGTTTGAGAAAGAATGTTTGTTCACCTCAGGTGGTTCATTTCAGCGATATGAAACCATCTCTTTCTATAGCCAACAGCTGTTTCTGCAGATCAGGACCTCTAAAATCTGGATGTATTTAAGTCCTTGCTTAAAACTCATTTCTTCAACCTGGCTTTTATGTAGGATGATTTTATTTTTGTCATTGTCATTCTTTCTCATTTTTATTGATTTTATAGTTGTGTGATGTAATGTTGTTTTTATCCCAACTTGCAAAATGTTATGGTTTTATGGTTTTTAGTTATACTTTCTTGCTATGTTATCTTGTGTGTTGTACAACACTTTGGGTTGCGAAAGCAATAATAAGTGTGCTTTAGAAATAAACGTGACCTTGACCTTGACCTGCAATATATAAATAACTTTTTTTCACATTCTCTCTGGTTAAAAGTCTGGGTGTTGCTTTTGAAAACACTTTTACATCTGGGTCAGCTCAGTCTGGTCTTGGTGGGGACAGCCCATCCCTCTTCAGCCAGGTTTTATTTAAACAGCCTTCTCAGGAATGCGGATATCTCTGAGCATGTGGGCAAGGCAAAATTGGCATGAAGAAATCTGAGATGTCCTTCCTAAGCGCCACTTGGTGAACAGAAATGGGCTTGAACAATGTTGCTTTTGGAGACTCAGACATGAAGCACACAGATTCCTACTCTCTCAGTGAGCAGGGCTGTTGCCGTGGGCTCCTCTCCCATCCAAGAGTGCACATGGCTGATGAGCTGCAGTCAGGAAAGTTGTTTACCCCACTGCGTCTATGATGATGACTCACGCATGTGGGAGGCCACCACTGACTGATTCTGCCCGCTAATCGGAGCTTCCCACTAATAGGTAGGCGGGAACTTTAGCTGATCAGTCAGTCCATATTAGGCTTGTTGAGTCGACTCAATATCAATCTGAGTGCCGGGGTGTAGAGCTGAAAAAATAGTCTTATTACACTTAAATTTGAAAAACAAATACATTGTCGCCACTCCTTCATCACTTTCCTATTACAGGGTTTCCCTTACATAGGTGTAGCGATCTGTAAAGTAAACTCCCTGATGATAAAAACAACCACTTCTGATTATAATAATTTGATCTAATTATTGTGTATAAATATACAACTACAGATCGCTACATAGGCGTAGCCGTGGCGGCCCGCCACGGCTGAAATCCCACCGCCACGCCTAAGATCCCAAGTTATATATTTTTTTTGCGCTGTTTCCCGAAGAAGCAGCGGGAACTACTATGTTGTTGCTTGTGATCACAGCCGGCGGCAGCAAGGAGGAGCAGGCAGGGCAGGGTGAAGTTACAGCATAAGTTACTGAGTTTAAAATTAGAAAGGTAGCAGTGGATATAATGCTTTTTGGTTTACATGTTTCAATAAGCATTAAGATAAACGAGTGTTGACGATCTTGACAGGGTTTCCTCCAGTGCTTATTAGGCCAGGTTCTCGTCCCCCCACCAGGCTAAGCATCACTTATTCATGTAAAATTTATTTTTTCGTGTCTGACTTTAACCGCATCTAATACTGTATTACGGCGTGAGCGCAACAGCGACAACTTAAGATCGATGTGTGAGCATATGGAAAGCCAAAACCGCCAAAATACGCCACTTTCCCAACCTGTCTAGTTAAGAGATGGCGAATAAAATGGCGTTTGATGTGTCAAGACGTTGTAAAATACGGCGAAAACTCTCCCAGAACACCGTATTTGACGCCTGCTAGAGCCGTTCTTAACGGTCCTGTAGAACGCCCGTAAAAAACGACGTTTTTTTCCAGACATTGAACACCGTTTTTTTACGTCACCCTAATCCCAGACGCGTTCCCTGTGTGGGTGGTGTAAAAAACGGCGTTTTGTACAGACATTGAACGTAGCTTTTTTCGCCGCTCTTGACATAAAACGCCGTTTTTAACGCCACTTTGTGACAGTTTTCACGCGTTTAAAATTCAACGTTACTCTCATTTATGCAGAGCCCTACCCATGGGTTTCTCATCCATTTAATTTAAACTCCAGTGACCCAATGAAAGAAGAGGAGGTTGAGGAAGCACTATTTCATCACTGATTCGCCGGGCTGTCGAGGTTGCTTCAGACTACTGTTTTCTAATACAACTCTGCTCCATTTCAACTAATTTCACTGTATAGATAAAGCCTTGAAATGTAGTAACATTATCAACAATGTGCCAACATTATTATTTTTTCTGTCTACCTGTAAAAGGCAGAAACGCTGTTTCAGTCAGACCTGATAATTACTTAAAAGTGTGGCCACTAGATGGTGCCACGTATCAGTCTGTCCTCGTTTCGTGGCTTGTGAGTCCAGCTGGAACATCGGTGCTCTTTCTGTCCAAAACTCCCTTCTTCTTAAGCTCATCCACTTTCAGTATTTACTATTGTTGTTGTTGTTGTTGTTGTTAGGGTTAGGGTTGGTTTTCCGCCAAAGCTGGAAAAATTCCTAGGGGAATCACTGTATTGTTTACCACAATCATTCCAACTCTTCTTATACATAAGGCCATCTAAACGTTATCTTCAGTTAGCGTTGAAAACATGACCAAATACACATGTAAAACAAACAAAAAAAGTATGTGTACTATTGATTCACCACCTCTAATTCATTAACATTTGAGGAATAAATGTCTCAAGAAGCTCTTTTCTCCCTCCTCTAGAGTCATCGAATGCATCTTTGTTGACAAATGCTGAGAAGATTGCCACCATCACCACCACTCACACACCTCAGCAACAGGCTGCAACTGAGGCCAGGTGAGCAGCAGTGCTCTTTGATCAAACGGCTGATCAAGTCGTTGGTGTTTGAACGTTTTAGACGGGTTTATGTGTGGTTTACGCTACTTTATTCTGTTTCAGGACCAACACCAAACCAAAACAGGAGTCTTATGAATTTAAAGCACCACAAGGCACCCCTCCCCAGCCCCTCACCCAGACAGACTCTGCTCAGGTAAGGAAGAGCGCCCTACTCTGTCACCTGCTCCGTCTGTTCCGTGTCTCTTGTCGAGCACCACGATTCCTCCTAATTATATCCTGGTGTCTCTCCGCACATCCATCCAAACACGTGTTCATCCTTCACACCAGCTAATACACCCTCCCACCCTCCCAAGGACAAATAATGCTCATTTTTAGCTTTTTGTTTTTTTATAGCCTGCTGACATTTAGTTGAGCCAGTGCATTAACAGAAGCCTGTTTACTTTCAAAGTAGCTCCTCGGTCCATTGTGTTCAGAGCTGAATTAATCTGGTGTTGTGCAGATGGCTCTCCCTGATAACATTGATCCTTCCACAGAGGAGATTAGAAGGGCATAAGACAAAACTGCAGAGACTGTCTGCCTGTCCTTGTGGTGCCCAGTCTGTCTCCCTCTTCCTCCCTCTCTTCTTTGCCTAGAGCACAGGGCATCAATAATTCAGAAGCCACACACCTGAGCATATGCACACACACACACACACACACACACACACACACACACACACACAGTCTGGCAGGGCTTTTAAATGTGTGTGACTTCTCTGGAGGTGCCCCCCCCCCCGTTCCTGAAACTGGAGATGGCTTCAAAAGACCCACAAAAAGACTTGAGACCACTAAAGTGACCTTGATGCTAATGTGTCTCCATCCTCCTCTCCTGAATCACCGACAGGATTCTGAGTTCTACTCGGTGGACCTGGACCGGGACAACAAAGGCTTCGGCTTCAGCCTGCGGGGAGGCAGAGAGTACAACATGGACCTGTACGTGCTGAGGCTGGCTGAGGACGGAGCAGCTGTGCGCAACGGAAAAATGAGGGTAAGGACACGGCGTGGCAAAAGCATTCTGCACCTCGACTCAGTCATGACGTCACCGATGAGCCGCATCCTCAGTACCACTGTTTAAAAGGCACACGTGTGCTTCTTAATTAATGAGCATGTTATGATAATATATGTTTCTATCCTCTTGTGAAAATGACACCTTATTGTAAACTAAACGGACTTTGGTGGTTAACATTGAAAGGTCTATTTCCTTTGACTTGGAGCATTTGTGAGACGAACTGTTGAACATGTTGAGCTGCTTCCTCTGAAGCCACAGAGCAGATTCCCTGGAGTTCATCTCCTTCATCTGATTTAGTTTAATTATACACCAGATCGGTGTTTATCTTCTTAGCGTTCACGCTCCTAACTTCTAAACCTTGTTGTAGCTTCGTGTTTGCATCTCACGGCCGCTAAGAATGATCCTCTGGGAATCATAGCTGTTCATTTCTAAAATTACCCTTTCCCTGTTTCTGCTCATTTAAAAAGATATACATATTTAATGTTTCTGTAAGGAAGGCTGCTTTATATCTGAGAAGCCTAAGCGGTTTGTTTGCACCTTGAGGATGTACACACCCGAAATGTTACTTTAGTATCTGTTTTGTTTAAACTTTTAATGTTTGCTAATCTTAGTTAGTTGTTACGGCCACCTTGAAATGGCTTGACTCTAAAAGTTGTACATGCACATCCAGTGATTACTGGAGTTTTATTTAAATGAGTTTATTGACATATTTTGGTGAGAGTTAACTCCAGAGCAGAGATTAAAGACTTAGTGCGATCAGTTTGAGTATGTGATGGAGCTGAATCTTGATTACGTACCAGGGACTTTCCACCAGACGCGTAGACATCATGTAACGTCTGTGAAGCGTATTACACAGCTTATAGCAGCAAAGTGTTGCATTGTGGAAGCGTCCCTGAAGCGTTATGAAGCGTCACTCCGTTAATTTTACACTTTCAGTCAGATTTTTATGTGCTACGCTTCCAGAACCTTCCAGGTTCATACTGAGCCAGTCAGGAAGTTAAACATGAAAGCAGTGTAAAACTTCTGCAACCTTTCAAAATAAAACATCTGCAAACTTTCAGATTTCCAGTTGTTTAACAGTAAAAAATGTCATTACCTGTGATGCCTCTGTAACCACAGCAGACCTTTTGGGATAAATGCTGCCATCTTTCTTGTTGGTCATCGCGTGAACTACTGAAATCACCGGTGGTGTTGCAATCCCTGGTCAATTTGTCAGTGGCGCCCCTAGATCATTTTCATGGGGGTGACCAGATGGGGCCAGAGAAAACTTTGGGGGTGGCACACCAGACTGGTCCATGTGGCAACTCTAGGAGAGTTTAGCCTGTGAAAGAAACATACACACTTTTTTAAAATCGGATGATCTATTTACTCTTTGATTGTATATTTTTTACATTTATGTCTGATTAAATATTATGAATTAATAGTTTGTGTGAACATTAATATGATTAAAGAACAATGGTCTTCTCTGGTGGGACCAGTGGGGTGGCCAGCAATTCTCTAGGGGTGACCCCGCCACTCCCTAGGAGCACCACTGCATTTTGTGACCTCATGGGACCAGCTTTGTGCAACGCTTTTGCTACCGTTTTGCATCTGAAATGCTTCCGGCACAAATGGACATTCTGGGCAAAGCACGTCTATTACGCGCCAATTACGCATCCAATGGGAAACCTGTGTCGCAATTTGGATTTTAGGTCATATCTGTGAAACTGAATGAATTCTATCTTTTGCGTAGTTTATTAGGGTCAGCTGATTGTACACCTTCTTGAAACAGTTAATCATTCATAGATGCACGGCCAGTGAAAACTTTCAGCAAGTTTTGGTAATGGTTTGGACGGTCGGAGGAGAAACATGGAGGCTTGTTTTCTGCGTGGTCTCCTTTTTGTGGCCCTGACAGCGGGGAGGACATTAGCAGACGATGGCTAGGTGACTTTTGTCTCAGAGCTTTTGTCTAAACCTGCTCAGAAGTTGTCCAAGTATGGGTGGTATGCCAACGTCAGGCTGCAGAGGTTCCACATACCAGAGGAGACCGCCATCGCTCGCTGGTTGTTCTCCATGAAAAAGGGTCACTTCTTCCACTGTGGACAACACAACGTCACCATCCATATTTGATGGGGTGCCCCTCCCGTTATAAACCCAACAGGATCAGTGTTCGCCAATTCAACACTCTGGAGCCCCAGTTTGTCCCTGACTCTCCCAGTTACCTCACAGAGCTTCACAACCTTTAACCTGTCCGACCCTGCTCCAGGTGATTGGTACGTTGCTGCCCACCTGCCTGAGGATGACGGGCGTATAGAGCAGAAGGGTTTCCCATCCTGCTCCTACTTCTTCCAGCCTCAGCTGCCTATCAGGAGAGTGGTGGACATGCCCGTTCTACAGCCAGACGTGTTCCTAACACAGACCGCAGCCCCTGACGGACCTGCACGCCTTAAGTTATACGTTCCAGAGTTTGCCTCGTCTCTCTCTGTATCCGTTGCTGGCTGCTCATCAGGGGAGGCAGCCAGCTACATCCTTTATGTTCCGCTCTGTCTTGTTTAGGTGAAATAACGTATGCCTCATAGATAGGGCTGCAACAATGAATGATAAATTCGATGAAAATCGATTACTAAAAGCGTTGGCAACGAATTGCGTCATCGATTCGTTGTGTTGCTCAACTCTTCCAAAAGCCCCCCTCCCCCTCCCCGGCCGCCGTTGCGCACAGACCGGAAGCAAGTCAGATCAGCGCGATGGAGAGCCGGGTGAAGCAGCGAGACCCAAAAAAGTAAAAACTTCTAAAGTTTGGGAGCATTTTCAGTTAAATCAGGCGAAGACATTCGTTACCTGCAAAGTTTGTAGGTCAGACTTAGCATGGCACGGGAGTACTAGGTGATGCAGCATCTTAAAAGCAAGCATGCCGAATCAGCGAGGAAGGAGAGAGCTCTGTGTCCGGGTAAGTTAAAAGCTTTTCAAAAGTGATTCACCCAAGCCCCGGATTATTGCACAGGCTAGACATGCCCTAAGCTCGTAAAAAAAAGTCTATAAAATCGTAAGCGCGACGCTATTAGATAGGCGGGGGGGGGGGGGGGACTCGCGCTGCTGCGAACCGGTGTTGTATCATAAATCGACTCGCTGCCAAAAAATGATTAGCCACTGAAGAAAGGAAGGGGAAAAAATCAAATCGCTGGAGAATTGTTTATTTACATTTATACAACGTTTACATTCAATACAGGGCGCCATTTTACATTATTTATTTTTTAGTATCAAGGCTGTAACATAAAGAAAGCCACAAACCATCTTTCAATCGCAAATATTGCAAAAAGGATTAATATATCCTCATTGTGAACGTTTAAGACAAATAGCAACACTTAAAACAACTTCCGAACTGGAAAAAACTAAGCTAATCATTTTTTGGCAGTGAGTCGATTTATGGCACAACACCAGTTCCGCCGTCACATTCCCGCAGAAACTGGTTATTACACCGGGGCCAGGCTACTAACATGTGGCTTTACAACCACAATGTCCTCAGAAGCGAAAACGCTTTTAAAAGGGAGGGAGAAGTACCAACTCTCGCTGCAGGCGTGTTGTGTGAGTGCAGTTATATACTGGTTAATATATTTTGGGTTCAGTTGCTTTCATGTGGCCTAATGTGAGTCTATTTGGGATCATTGGAATGATCAGCAGCATTTCTTGATGTGACTTTATGGCAGTTGCCCAGGGCATCATCACAAGGAGGATGGCATTCATTTACTTTTGTTTTATTTGGTATTTTTTCAGTCATTTTTGGAAATAGTGATTAATTTTGATTAATTCACAGCCTATGTTTAATTACATTTAAAAATTAGTTGTTTGACATCCCCAATTATAATGTCTACAGATGAGATCAAACAAAACATATGAGAATTCCCCTTAAAGAGCAAGTCACCCCCAAATAAACATTTTTTTTTTTTTGCTGATAAACTAAATAAACGAGTGTCTAATCGTGCTGCAGACACGTGTCGTCAATAATTTGGCACTTCAGTGCATCTTAGTTCAAATTTAAATATTCTGCCTAAAACTGGCAGTGTTGTGCCGTTGTCAGGTAAAAACTCTGCACTGTATTTTAATTTAAATCTGCCACCACTATTGGCTAAGAAGTATGCTATGATGTAAACTGGTACATTATGATGTCACAATGCTGTTGTGAGCCTGAGTGTGTGTGTATTTGTTAGCGGCTCCGCCCTCTCGGTCTGCCAGGCAACAGCATGTGTTTCATTTTTCAAACATGAAGTGGGAGTGGAGTTAGACTCTGATAGGGGTTGACTTGCTCTTTAAGCTGTTTAACTTGGACCAAGCATTTTAGGTCACAGATAGGTGTAGCTTAGGGTCTCTGTCTATACACCTTATAAGACAATTTAGGTGATGGCATGTTGTTTTTCTGCTATTGAACTGTTTTCTAATAATGTTGTGTTTAATAAAGTGAAGGAAGGAGAGAAATAACGTTTCCCTAGAAGTTTTTAACAATGTCCCCATGTAATCCGATTAATCGATTAATCGTGTCGAGACCCCATCCGATTAATCGATTATCCAAATAATCGTTTGTTGCAGCCCTACTCATAGAAGACACCTGAAACCACTGAATCACTCTCACGTCATCTCATTTCTCCCAGACGCTGCACATGGCGGCTCTGGGTTGTGATGACACTCATATCTCAGATCAGACTAATGTTTTAAAAATGGCCTGAAAACGCACGTCTGTGTTTTCTTTCTTCCTGGTGTGATTATAAAAGTGCTTCTACCAGGTGTGTGTCTTCAGGTAAAGGATCTGCTTGAAGGTCGTTTGTATTGTCGCCAAACATCAAAACAAACTCTGTCCATCATGACCAGTTTGAAGCAAATGGAAGCTGACCTGAGTGGCGTCTCTTTCCTTAACCCTAGTCGGTCAGCTGCAGCAGCAGACATGATGATGTCATCTTTACACATTCAGACCAAAACCAGGAAGTGGTTTTCACATGGATTCTTCACTTTGATTCCACCTGAAGCACTTCTTAAAAATTAATGTCATTTATATTTACTTCACCTCTGTTTCAATCAGCACCCAATGAATGTATATTTAGATTATTCGTGTGTGTGTGTGTGTGTGCGCGCGAGAGTGTGTGTGTGTGTGTGTGTGTGTGTGTGTGTGTGTGTGTGCGCGCGCGAGTGTGTGTGTGTGTGTGTGTGTGTGTGTGCGCGCGAGTGTGTGTGTGTTTACAGTAGGAGCCTGTGGAGCTACTACCAAATGCGTGACACAACAGTTTATGTTTGCTGTTATTTTTGCACCGTTTCTTTAAAATCCATCCAGGCATTTATGAGATATTCTGCCACAATTACAGTCCAACAAACATTTTGCAGCAGCTCATAATTAAAGGTTTTATGAGCTGGAAAAAAAAGTTAAAGTAAAGCCACTGCACACGTCTGTGTTTACATTACTGCTGCATATCTCGACCATCCATCTCTGATTACGCGGCTGGTTGTTTAACTGCAGCACGCTGATTACTATTTAAGATCTCCTCTCTTTCAGGTGCTTTATTAAACAGCCTGATTAGCTTGCGACTGCCTTTGGAGACCTCACAGCCATCAAAACATTATCTATCATTATAAGTGCCTGTGTTTAGTGTGCCCCCCGATTGTTGCCAGTCGTGCGTCAGCGAACATAAACAAGTCGTGTAAATGATGAAACGCTGCTGCATGCTACCACCATTGACACAATCTATATGTTTTAGTTAATTAAAGAGCACGTGCTCCAGGAGCCGCCGTAAAACTGCAATATTTAACCTTTAGGTGTGATTAAAACCACCGAGCCGGCAGGGCCTTGTGATTTAATATGCATTAATGATATTATTTTTTAACATGTCCCGCGTGTTTGCAAGAGAGACATGCCTGGAACTTGTTAGTAGCTGCTTCTTGAACGTGGAATTTGAATGCAGCAGCGTGTTATTATTGGCAGTATTAAAAGAAGCAGCTCTGAGAGGCAGAGAGACGTGTTTGAGAGCGATCCAGCATCCCTCTGGTGCAGACGGAGCTGACGGCTAACCTGAGGAGTGGATTCAAACAACAAAGTGTTGCTTCCTGGTTGTTGTCCCCCACCCCCCTCCTCCATCACTCTCAGAATCACAGTTGCAGCTTTTTGACTTGCTCTCTACATGAACTGTTAAAAAATCTTGCGTGAGTTTATCTTACCATTCTGATCTTGTCAATCTGCCCACTTTTCCCTTCTCTTCTTCTATCCCTTTGAACTCCTCTCCATCCTTTGTTTTGCTCTTCTGTCTCTTCATTTCCTGTCTTTTACCCCCTACACCCATCATTCTTCCTCCTATTCTCTTCCTTCCTCCCTCCAGGTAGGCGATGAAATCCTGGAGATAAACGGCGAGAGCACTAAGGGCATGAAGCACGCGCGAGCTATCGAGCTCATCAAGAACGGAGGCCGACGCGTCCATCTGGTGCTCAAGAGGGGTGACGGCTCCGTGCCTGAATATGGTGGGTCAATCTACGAAAACATTCCCTTCTCACCCATCTTCACACCCTGAGCCGGAGTGGCTCGCCCAGTGGACATTGGCGGGTTGATGGGGGAAAGAACGGACTCTGACTCCCGGGACCAAACTCACCAGAGAGGGGTGTTGCTTGGCTTTTGTCGGTCTTAACGTGGTGACGGTCTTCCCTGTGCTTTTGGGGGCAGGAAGCCTGTGGCTCTTCAGCTGTCACCTGCTTTCCGTTTCCATGTCATCCCGCTGTCACTTTTCACCCTCTGACCAAATGCACTCTGCTGGGACTTCACAGAATGGTGGTGGGCCTAATTTCAGTGCTACAATAAATGAAATAAACTGTTTACAGTGTTTGAATGACCAGAGCAGGAAAATAACCCGTGTTTCTTTGTTGTTAGAATACGAAACACCAGTTTAGCATCCTCCTAGGAGAGCTGTGGGACCTGTCACTGCTTCATTGTGACACAAACATATTTATGCTATTTATTGAAGGAATGTAAGCTACTGAACTCCTAAAGGTTGTAATTAAGAACTGTATTGAAAAGAAAAAAAACATCTAAATTCTTTTTTTTGCCATTTTGATTTCAAATTCTTTCTATATTGTGCTTGGCATTACTCACTCATCCATGGTTTGTTTTCTGTTTTTGGGACCGTTGTTAATGTCACTGAAATGCTGTGAAGATGCAAAGTCCACACGTCCCCTTTCCAACAGACAGGGAGTGGTTATGTAAACGTTTTGTACAGTGATGAGATGATTAGAGGCATTTTTACAAGTATTTTTGTTCAGTGTACAGAGCCATGGATCAAAGCCACATTATTAATGGACTAAAGGTTATTGCTGCATGAACTTGTCAACAGTGTAAATTAGAAATTTTTTTGCCCCTCATATTGTCTATTTCCATAATATTTATGGAACATTTCTTCTTGTTTCAATTGTATTGACAAGTTTTGAGCGGTATGGTCAGGGCTCCTGAATTTCTTTGCTCTGCATTTGCCCGTGTTGAGAATCAGTGTTATTTTTTTATTTGCGATAAGAATGTGTTGTCTGATCTGCACCGATTTGACGTCATGTGAACTTTTTGTATATTTTGGATAATTTACAGTTTTTTTTGGGGGGGGGGGGGTGGATTGACCTGTTTCACAGCCTTGTTAGTGTTTCTTTTATATTTCTGATATTTGTATTTGTTTTATTTTTCAGCTGCTTCTTTGTCTACATGTTCAGATTGTGTGTGTGCGTGTGCGTGTGTGTGTGTGTGTGTGTGTGCGTGTGTGTGTGTATGTGTGCGTGTGCTCACTTGATTCCCCGACTTCTCTGTGTAACTGATGGCTTTCACTGAAGGGTTTGGGGTTGGGCAAATTCTGGGACTGTCTCTTTATTCTGAACGACTCAACGATCAAATAAACACTTGTTTTCCATTAAGAATCAAAGCTGACATGAATTTTCTCTTGTCTTTCTTCAAGTTGATTCCAAACAATCTAAACTTGTGTGTTTTTTTTCTGTTTTTGTGTTTCCTCTCCTCTGTTCTGTGTTACGCTGGGCTCTTGTCTTCCTTCAGGGATGGCCGCTCCCCATCTCACTGCATGTGTGAAAAATGACAAGATGGGGGATGCGTCTGTCCTCCCAAATCCGACCACGGTTTGTAACTGTCCTCTGTCGTCTGGCTCTCTCTGTGCCTCCCGACTTCTTTCATCCTGATGTGTGTGATGTGGCCTCAGATCACTCATGCCCATGCTCTGCTCCATGCATTTACCCCGTTCACCCTTTACCAGCATCGCCGCTTCCGTAACTCTCGTTTGGTATATTTTATCACACACACACACACACACACATTTAAAGAATTGTGCATTGACGGTGAATTCTAAGTTTTTGTTTATAGCTTTACTTGATTCTTTTGATCTTTTTGCGAAGCTGGGAACGGATTCATTTTCACACCAATTGCAGTGTTTTTGCAACAGGTTCCAGTTTGGGATCTCATCTTAAAGGTTTGAATCTTTTTGAGATTTCTTTGACACCTTGCCTGTTGGAGATCACTCTTTAAACGGCCTCAGTTTAGAGAACCACAGCTCTTTTCTGACTGATTGACAGGCCGGTGGCTAGTCCGAGTGGGGCCATTATAGACTTTTAAAAAGAAAAACTGATAACTGTTGTAGTGGTTTATAAAAACAATATTTCATAAACCTTTACACTGTCAAATATAGTTGTTTAGAAATAGTCTTATATATGTTAAGCTGATAGTAGAGTTGATTTTGGGATGACTTTGTAACTGGTCCAGATGTGATAAACTGCCAGCTCATCAGAACTAACCTCTGTTTCTCCAAACTGACATCATGCAAAGAGCCATCTACACCAGGCACCGTATTGCTTACCGTTTCCATAGAAACGCAATTGGAATTATCCCTATAATCGTTTGATTGGCTTTAAAGATTCATAAAGTACCTGAAGGGTCTTAACAGTGCATGAAAGAGCATGGCTAATCGGCACAATCAAGCAGTGTCATTAAAATGGAGGACATCGTCTCTGATTGTAATCAGCCTCCAGTCCAGCCACCCGATGAGCCGAGTCCGGTTTTACTTCAGAGGTGACCCGAGTTAGACCAGTGGACGGGTTTGTTGTGGGTAACAAGTCTCTTCTATACATCTGCTACACAATAATCTGACTGCCTTTTGTTCTGTAAGCTACACTGTTATCATGGGCTTTGCCATCTAACATTTGCTTAACATCAGACTGGCTTCCATTGGAAATGCTCTCAGCTTCATGTCTGAGTGAGTCAGCATGATTAATGTAAAGGACGATAGTCTTTTAAAGCCCAGATTGCGTGATCGATTTCTCTGTCCTCATCTGTGTTGCATTGTGTTGCAGACGGCAATCCCAACGACGTCATCACAACCAGCTCAGCCACAGGGATACAAAACGCTGCGGAAGTGAGCGCCCTGCCCCAGACCGACACACCATCAGAGTCAAGCTACCCACCCGAACCCCAGCAGTCATCCCGAAGCAGGCCGGAACCGAGTCGCCGGACTCATGATACTGGCAGAAAACATCGTTCCCACCACCGCCACCACTCCCCCAACAAAACAAGCACTGGAAGACACAGGGGGAAGATGTCCACTGGTCCCAAGCAGTTGAAGAAGGATGGCAGTCATGGCCACCACCACCACCATTCCAGCAGCCGCCACCGTAGTCGCCACCGTTCGCCTAACAAGGGGCACAGCCGGTCGCGCAGTGCAGACAACACCCTGGATCACAAGAGTAGGGGGCACCAGCGAGGCCGCTCTCCAGATCGGAGGCACGGTCAGCACTCCTCCAACCATCGCCATCGCTCGCCGCACCGCTCTCCTAGACGCTCACCGTACCGCTCTCCTAGACGCTCACCGTACCGCCACAGGTCCCCCCACCGTTCTCGGTACAACTCCCCCACTAGACGTCGGCACCACTCCTCAGATCCCTACCGGTATGACACTCCAGAGGGACAGGCCCGCAGCAATGAGAAGCCCAGCAACACTGAGAACAGGTATGATTATGATCCAGTGAAGACCCCTGAACCCAGCTACCCTTTTGAGGATGGCATCCTTCGAGAGTCCTCAGCCCTGGACCGCCTGAACAGGGAACCCATGTTGCCATCACTGCGGAGAGAGGATCGCCAATATGGGGAGAACAGTCTGCTGAGAAGTTCCTCCATGGAGAGGAACTACAGAGCGGACAGGGTGCTGAGAGGCATGCCATCACGTGATCAGGCAGACACTTATAAAGACAACACCCTGCCTAGAGTCCGCACCCCAGACTTCAATTCAGCCTACCTGAAGTACAGCTCTCTGCTCAGGGCTCGCACACCTGACTCAACGGATAGGGTGGACTACCTTGCCAGCAGAGGAAACACCCCTGACCTCCAGTACCGGTCCCGAAGCCTGGGACGAAACATCTCCCCAGTCAGGTTCAAAGAGGACCATTCTGAGGATGAAGAGGACGATGACGATTTTGTAGCGGCTAAAGTTAAAGAATACTACAGCACGCTCAAGTCCAATAAGAGTCAGCCGTCTAAGCCCACGTTTCCTGAGCCCAAGAAGACCTACAAGGATAATCCCAAAGACCTGAGCATCTGATTGGACAGCTGTCAGCCAATCACAAAAACTACCCACATAACACCTCAAGTACTCACTTCCATTACCACTGGGTTCCACAAGAATACAAGTACTTATGTAACACACACACACACACACACACACACACACACACACACACACACACACACACACACACACACACACACACACACACCATTTATGCACCCATACACTAATTATGTAACAATATTGAGTTACTAACAACAGTGATTCCAAAATGACTTTTGAAAGATGTATTTTTCTTTTTTATTGTATGTTTTCTTTCTTTTCTTGTTTGAATTTAAACATTCTACATTTAAAAACTTTTCCAGAAAATATAAAATTGAAGGAAAAAAAATCAATGATGTGCCTAAGAGTTCCATTAACAAGCAGCGTTTTGGTCTTAATTTGATACACAGCGGGCGTTTTGTTGCCCCGCTGTCAGACGATGAAATGTATGTACTTTTCCATGATGATTCCATGGGAAGTACCGCTGCCGGTGCTCCCAGCGATGCTGTGCATGTCTTTACCGGTTTCAGTGTCTCTTTCTCCATCTCTCCTGTCTTTGTTCTTACTCTATTCTCTCTCTCTCTCTCTCTCTCTCTCTCTCTCTCTCTCTCTCGCTCTCGCTCTCTCTCTCTCTTTCCTTCCAGTGCCACTGTTTTTTAAACATTTGACCAGACTATAGCACAAGCCTGCATTCGTTTGTACATTTTTGACAGTTTGCAGTATGTGTACATTCAGAGGTGATCATTTTAAAATGAATGAAAGGAAGATAAAAGGTTAATCTATGATGATGATGATGTTAAAATAAAATAATATATTCAACAAATGCACATTTGAGGTTCATTATTTTGGTTTGTTTGCTCAACCTTTTTTTTTTTTTTTAGAATTTAAACTTTGCTCTTGGTCATGCTGAATCCAGTCCATTTGCTGAGACTTCATCATGGTGCATGAATCTGGGTCAAAAGTGAGCTGTTAATGTTGAGGGAATGCAAAAAAATACTAAAACCATCACTAGATCATCACAATATGGCTAAAATAAAAACCACCATAAATCTCCCAGAAGGCTAATTTAGGCTGAAAATGCTAGTTTGAGTTCTGCTTGTTTTGACTCTTTTTACTGATTGGGTATGTGACGTTTACTGCAGCCCATGAATGCAGGTGTTTGAGCAGCTGAGGAACGGCATTTCCTTGAACCCGTCAGGCGCATCTTTTCTCGCTAAGGCCTAGGGATCCCAAGTTGAGTTGAGACCCCGCTGTGGGTCATGAAACACTTGAGATAAATCAACTTGTAAAATGATTGTCAGTGGTGTATTTTACCCAGAAAGACTAAATAACTAAAAAATGTTAAAAATCTGTCAAATAGCCTATTAGAGATACTTATAATTGTAATTACTAATAGTCAGGGGTCATGATTCTCATTTTTAGTCTGTATTTTGTGGGTCAACAGTTCAGAAACCAGGCTGGCCTCCACTCTTTACTACCACGGAATTTAGATGTTTATTAATGACTAGGTTCTGTAGTTAGATTAGCACGGGTATCACTTTTCTTTCTCTCGTCTCTAAATTTTTCCTAAACAATCGTGAGAAAATACAGCAAAAATAAGTCAGAAAATTGCATTTCCATCCCACTTTACTCACATGCACACTTTTTCCGATTATTATTTTATAGCTTCCCATTGCGGCAACATATGCCAAACTACTTCATGCCATGTTTAAAAAAAAACGTGCATCCAGAATTACCCCATGGACACCGTCTGCCCTGCTCATGAGAGGAAATGGAGATAAAGCGCTGCGATCAAGCAGCAGAGTATCAGAGTCGTTCTGGTCCAGTTTCGCTGTAGTTCAAGCGGGGCTTCAATGCACTCAACTCCTTTTGATTCAAACATCTGAAACAGTTTTTCACACAGCCACATTTCTGGAGCTCTGCTTGGAAGAAAACATAAAAATACTGAAACATCAATCCCAGATTAATTCTGAAATGTTACATATGGTTATCTGTGTTTTTACCTATGTGAATATAATGTCTTGTTCAGGATTTATACAGCCTCCGTGGAGACTCGAATGCTTGTATCCTGCTGAGGTCTCACAGAAAAAGAACCATGCAGATCCTAAATAATGGATGGAATCCACTCTGGAGTGCTGAAACAGTCTCTTCCTCTCCCCTCTCTTTAAATATCTCTCCCTTTTTCATCAGGATACACTCCAACCTTCATCAGATAAGAGGGGGAGGGGGGGGGGACATCTTCATTTTTTATAGCTAGTGCCATTAAGGTCCGGTGATAATTTAATGTCTGTACCAGACAGGAGGAGCAACACTAATGAAACATCCAATAACATGACAGCAGCATGCCGGGTCAAGCTGCTGTTTTACCATCAGCCCAGCTCCAGCTGCTCTCTGCTTTGACCCGATAGAGCTGCCTCTCTATCGCCATGGAAACAGCTAGAGCAACAGGCTCTTTTCCCACACTGGCCAGAGCAGAAAAGTCCTACATGTGTAAATATATGAACTCGAGTGAGGAGTTATTTTTTGCTTTGTTCAGAAGAAGGAATAAAACCTTCTGAATTGGTTTCCAGTGCTGTCATAAAGCATTATTCTTTGTCCCAATACGCCGTGTCTCCTGTTCGGCTGTGCGTGACCTTCTTTATACAGAGAGGTTGGTGAGAGAATGGACTGTATCTGCTGTTGCATGCAGCGTGTGTATTTCTTATTTAGGTTGCTACAACCGAACTCGGATGGTGTGCATTTGAGGATTTAGTTTATATTGTGTGGTTTGGTATAATCAGGGAGAATTAGCAGATGTTTAAAATAAATCCACAGCCTTGGTCTCTTCTTTCAATTCAATCTTTCAAATACAGTATGTCTTCCTTCCATTTTTAAGTATCGAGATGTTATATTTATCTGAGAGAACTCTTACCAATCTCCAGTTTAGGTTAGATGTAAGGGTAGACTGATGTATTGGGCTTAGGTTTAGACATTTGTACACTTGGCAGTTTTGTTAGCTTTTAGCACCCCCTAGTGTCCATTATTATATATATGGTCGAAGGAAAAGTGAAACTGCTGCGCGTTCGTCTTTTTAACACCTTAATCTAACAGCTGAAATGTCTCCTCAGCCTTTATTTCTGCAGGAGCGGTTCATCACTAAATCAAACAAATCAAAGTGTTCATGATCCGCAGGAAAACTGCGGGAAACAGACTGCAAGGCCAGGTATGTGAGCCCAACACTATAAAGTTTCAAGTGCCGTATTCTGGTTACAGAGGGCGGTAGGGGTCTTATTTACATTTCATCAACCCCGTAAAGGGTCATTTTGGCGCATACTGAAAATATGCAAGAAAATTATTTAAAAGTATAAAAATCGTTGTATAGTATCCATTTAAAGTCAGGCACATCCTCAGACAGCATGGTTTCATTTACAGGTATATTTAATTTCCTGAATAGCATCTGCTAAATAAATGCGCCAATACAAATTTTCTACAAAAATTAGTTGGGTTTTTTTGGGTCATTTTTGAATACTGAATACTTGGTCAGTTAATTGATTTGTTTCGTCAACTTTAGTTAGATGTCTGATTTTAACACTGGTAAATGCACAACATTCTGATTTAACAGTTGGTTGAATTCAGTGTCAAAACATATCAGAATCTGTTTCAGAAGTTTTGTGCATCAACTGATGTTGTTAGTTACTATTTAGCATGGAAATGTGGTGGAAAACATCTAGATATCTGCCATAAGAATCTTCAGCGCATATCACTTGTTAAATGTTTCATATTGATCATTGGATCCTAAATGGAATGGATTTGTGACAGAATTTGAGAAATTGGCAGACATCAAATCGAAATCCATTATATCTACATATCAAATGCTGATCAAGCTTAGTGATTTACAGCCCTAATTCTGTTATTCTGGAATTATTGGCAGGCTGAAACAAATTAAGCCCAAGTTTCAACCCTTTAACTGATGATTTCAGGTGAAGTCAAAGCATTTGATGCAGTTTTTCTCCATCTAGTACCACGCCATGACGCTGCCACCACCATGCTTCACAGCTGCTACAATGATGTTGCTTTGACTGTAACCAAATAGAACGTTTGACTAATAATCAGTTATCCAGGAGGCAGTTAGTATTTTCATGCGACATGCTGTTTGTTTTTGGTCAGGAGCTTTTATTTTTGTTGGCACCTTCTCGATCCGTAGTCATGTAAAACTAGCTTTCTGTGGGAAAAGATTTGAGCCTTGATGGTTCCTGGATAATTTCTAACATAATTTTCTTGATCTGAGGGTGAACTGATGATGATGATGATAATAATAATAATAATAATAATAATAATAATAATAATAATAATAATAATAATAATAATAAAATATGAAAAAAATGTCACCACCAAGGAGCTTGAAAAGCTATCAAAGTACAAGGACCTGGAAATAGAAGTCACAAGACTGTGGGGGATGAAGACAACAACAATACCCGTCGTAGTGGGTGCACTTGGCCTCATCAAGAAGGGACTGGAAAAGAGAACAAAACAGATTCCTGGAAACCCAACAGTCCAAGAAATCCAGAAGATTGTTCTTCTCGGAAGTGCCCACATCATCAGAAGGACGCTTTCCATAAACTAACCCTGAAACTGCCTTAGAAGCATGGATTGATTCTGGCACTTCAGTGAAAGCATACAAATATACAATAATAATAATAATAATAATAATTCTGAGCTCAGTTTTTGAATTGGCAAATGTTTATCAAGTATTTAGAGGACTAAAATTCTGAAGGGAAAAATGCCAGAAGTATTTCAAAATAAATCAGCCACAGGAGAAACAAAATAATTATGTGCAACAAAGGTATGCAAGCACTACTGCTAGACCACAAGAGCAGAGAGGAGTTTGTTCCCCAGTAGAAGAAGCATGGCTAAATGGATGGTTTAGGTCCACCAGAACCAAACTAGTTCTGTCAAAAGGAAAGTTTGAAGTTTATTGGTGGAGAGGGTGGCCTCCTTCAAAGCCTTGCTACAGCTTATTCCATGGAAATATCCCTACACCTTTCTAATGAAGCACAAACTCACCACTAGTGCTTTTAAGAGTGACTCATTGGTCTTTAGAAAATAATGACCTTCTGAAAGCTATCTTTTAATGAAATAATTATAGCTTTACAATAAATGCGGGTGGAAATGTCAACTCCTCCTCCCGCAATGTTAAATGATTCACAGAAGATTTTGTGTTAAGGCATTTGGTCATGGCTAATCTAAAAGGAAAAAGAATCTGTCAAACTCTCTCATGAGTTAATTATTCAAATCTTTCTTTTATGAGTTAAATTACGGCCACCAGTAACCTTCAATGAGAAGGATCATTTTATTCAGAGGAACGTTAATTTGAGAGGAATGACTATGATTAAAACTGTAGACACACACTGGGAAATAATTAGTCCTTGCATTAGTCACTAGTAGGAAGAAATCTTACGAGGGCAATGGTCCAAATCTGTTGTATAGTATTTAAAACGTAGTTTGAGTTTAAAAGGTTAAAATGTACTTTATGGCATTCTAGTGTGGAACATTTGATTAGTTGTGAGACAATGACACAATGATGTTGGACCGCTCGCCCTAATTAGGTTAATTTGACGAAACTCAACAGAATTTGTTCTTGAATTTTAATATTTTTGACAAAGGTGAAGTCATTGTCTTGTAACTTGGTTTGATGGTATTTTTTCCTTTTGCTTTTTTTTTCCTCATTCATTTTAATTAGGAAGCTGTAGAAACAATCTTCCTGGTTATAACATACTGCAAACTCAAAACCTGCCCTTCCCACCCCATCCCCAGTGTCCACCAGTCAGTACAGTCCACTAGTCGGTGTAATCTCTGAAAGTCTGAGATGCTGTGGTACCTGAAGCTGCATAGATTTATATTTCTTTCAATTTTGAGGTCGAAATTTTTTCTTTTGGAAAAACCAAACAATAAAAAACTGAATTGATGAATTGATTGAGGACTTCTCTGAAGACTTG